GGCAGGTATGAAGACCAAAATTGTGTGACCTTTTAGATGGTCGCGTCCCTGTCAATATGACCACGTTGCAAAAACAAGGTCAAACGACTGCTATACACCTTTTTATCGCCTGAAGGGCGCTCAAGTGGAGTAAATGTATAAAAACGGGCCCTATATACATTGCTTGAATTTTTAAAAAATAAATAATTGTCTCTTGGTCTCTTCGGAGTGAGGGTGGAATTTTCCTACACTGAAATTCTCCGTAGCACTGCCAGTCTGGGGTTTCAGCTTTCGATAGCTTTTAGGCGGTCTCTACAGCTACCAGATAGCCAAATCGGAGTGTCGAAGGCAAAATTGCATTATTATTAAGTATATCATATGCCACCAGGGCGGGCTTCGGTAAGATGGCTGCTAGTTTCTAATCCAAGCTTAGTAATTTCCAACATTAGCTTCCGCTTCTTGGGTACATTCGCTTTCAATGCACTGGACATTCTCTCCAGACATTGCAGATCGGCGCCAGACACTTTTCGTCGGATTTCGTTTCAAACCAACAACGGCACGGTTTAAGCCCTTAGTGATAATTGGCTTGCGCATTCTAGTCTGGTTAACTTTCTGGCTGGCCGCGGCTTGCGCTTGCCATCAGACCTCCCTGACATTTGTCTCCGATCCAGAAAGTCGAATCAGCCCTCCGAAACCAATCAGAACTTGACTTCCATACTCCACAAGGCGGCTAGTGAAAGGCTATTTATTTTCTTAAAGATTTCCGCTGGGCGATAAGTTCGCTCTTGCAGCGCATCTCCGCTTCTCGCCATCGTGCCTCGTCTTTACACCATCTCAGCAATGTCTCCTTTCCTCTTTACATATCGTTTTTATTTCACTTTGCTGGACTTTATTTTTCTTGGCATCATTGGCAGGTCTAGAGTCAGGTGCAAAACAGCACAGCCTCCTAATCGGTTTTGCCTAAATCCTTTGCTGTATGCAAGGTTCAGATCGTCTTCTCTTTGGTACGGGTTTAATGGGCAAGCTCAAGCCATCTGCCTCGGCCTCATCATATTGTCCCGATTACAGAAACGAGCTAGGAGCCTTAACTATTGTTTCCAAGAGTCTACTTCACTAAGTACGTGCATTTCGTTTCGTCTGACAAGTGGCTGACGTCGAGTTGTCGATTGATACCACATGGTCGAAGTCGAGCGAGAGTGCTCCGAAGACTTGCACAAATGTATGCTCGCAACTGGCCAGTGTGTTTTCTAGACAAAAGTGTTGTCTGTACTACTACTACTACTACTGCTATTACTTGGTAGTAGTATGGTGCGTCTAGAAGATATTCGCACAAAGCCACAATCACTGCTCCTACAGCTTCCCTTGCATTCGCCTCTTCGCTAGCGTGCTACGCCAATTGATGTGAAAAATATCAAAACAACCCAATGCTTCGCGCTTGTCTGCTTGACTCGGTTCATTTGAAGAGGCCGTCGGAATGGGATTTCATTTGTCGCCCCCTGTTCTGTTAGCCTGAGGAATTTGGTCCATGTCCGAGTTTCTACCCTCACAGAAGATACCTGCACGGAGAGGTTGTCCTTTCTCACCTCTCCTCCGGGTCTTGTGCATTCAACCTGGATTTATCTGGACTTTGGCCTTGACTGCGTTGGCTTCATTTTCTCGCCTGCCGGTCTGTCTCGGTTGGGTGTATTTCGCGTCTTTGGGCCATGCATCTGATCGGATCGGCAAACAGTTTGGCGGTGATTTTGTTGCTGCAATTGTGAACTGTTCGATTGGTTTTGTTGAAATATTTTCTGGACACGGCACGCCCGGTCTGTCAGTCCGGTCCACACGAAGCGGGCGCAAGCAGCGTGGGATGGGGCTGGCAACTTTGAAGATAACTTGGCCTGATAGGCGTCCGGCCGGCGGGGACGGTCGGTCTGGGCGTGGGAGGGAAGAGGCAAAGGTTGTGAAAAGTCTTTTCATTTGCTTTACGGACCAGAGCCTTCCGCCGTTGCGACTGTGAAAACGGCTGGTGGTCATTTCTATTCTTATCAAGCAGCTTTCGCAAGTACCAGTAGTACCAGTAGTTCGCATACTCCACATCGTAGATATGAAGACAAGGCTGGTGTGGCCGTCTGGTCGCTGTGACCTTCAGC